AATAAGGTGATAAGTTAAGTTATCCAGGAGAGATTGGGAGTAGAGCCACTGTTCTTCTACATCAAGAGGAGCAAGTTGAGGTGGTTTGGGCATCTTAACGATGCCTCCTTGAATCCTCCCTAAAGAGGTCTTCCAGGTATTCTAACAAGGAGAAGACACAGGACATGCTAGAGACTAGGTCTCTCAGCTGATCATGAAAATGCCTTAGAATCCTCCCAGAAGAGTTGGAAGAAGGTTTGTGGAAAAATTGGTGTCAAGGCTCAAGCTGTTGCCTCAGACATGTGGCAAATGATAAATGGAAGGACAGATGGATAGATGGTGAAATAGCATCATTCAGGCTGATGTGAACCATCTAAACTGGTTTTCTCTTTTCCCCACAAATGTGATTACTCAAAACATGGCTGATCGCTCCCTCCAGTGTGAGAGATATAGAGCTTTGTTTTTATTTTTTGTTTTAAGTATGTATTCCAAAAAGTTTTGGTACTCTGGAAAACCGATGAGGTGAATGTATTTCTCTATATTTGTCACAAATAATATGACATCACACGTTTTTGGTATGCTGAACGAGCTGAACGTTTTCATACAAGAATGGTTAAAATAACACCAAATACACAGAATAATTTATAACGGAAAAACAATAAAGTCAATAAAATAAAAGTCCTCAAGGCTCAATGAGACTAACCTGTATAAATAAAGGTTGAATTGAATTTAATTGAAATTAATCTAAATGCTAACTTAACATTCACACAATAATATATTTGTATCATCTTAACATGGATTATTAGATAACGTAGGGGAATTTTTTGAATGTAGGAAAAATACCCATGAGAACCTTTTTGATTTATCTTTAATCTAAATTTCTCTCACATAACTTGTCCAACTTTTCTAAATGCAACAACCACTTTAGGGCTTTTCTGTTTCAGCTGGAGTTGGGTTTATTTAAAATAAATAAATTTTCATTCTTTTTTTATGTATCACCACTGCAAGAAAGCCACTAGACAAACTGGAGCCTACTTCCCCCAAGGTGCTGAGATAACTCCTTGTCTCATAGTAATTTATTACATTTTATAGGCTCGTCACATGATACGTATAATTTTTAATTTCACCTGCAAAGCAGCAAATAAAAGGCTGCTGTTAAATAAATACAACTAAGTAAATTATGTGATAAGAAAATGTTAAATTAGTTTAAAATTGAAAAAAAATCAGCAACGTGCAAAGACATTTCACTGATAATGAATCATTTTTCTGCTCCTCTGATTTAAGATAAATATCACAGGTTATTTGTCTTTTCTTTAAAAGAGAGAAAAAAAATTGTTTTTTGCGTAACAACAGGATTAACAAAAAACAGCCTTAAACTCAGTAACAATACCAGGGTTAGATTGTAGATAAAGATCTGAAGCTCTCGACCTTGACCTCTCCAAGTGGCTTTAAGAATCTGTTGGACTCCTGGCAGGGACCAATGCAGACATGTTCCTGTTTTTAGTTTTCTACATTCGCCTTAGAATCTAGCTGTTTTAGTTACTTTTCTTTTTTTAGCCTTCCTATTTGTAAATGGTAAATGGAATGGACTGTACTTATATAACGCCTTTCTATCTTATTTCAAGACACTCAAAACGCTTTACACTACAATCTGTGTCCTCATTTACCCATTCATACAGCACTCTACTAGATTGTAAAAAAAAATAAAAATCTGTATGACTTTTTATAACTGTTTATTGTTGTCACTGTTGTCCATTGTTGTCATCATTCTTTGTTGAAATCAGGTCTCTCTTGTAAATGAGTCCTCGAGGCTCAATGGGATTTACCTCTCTAAATAAAGGTTGAATGAATAAGTGGTGGCAGTAAAAATAGAAATGCCATTTTGTGCTCCTCTTCTTGTGATGCCTCACGTTGGTGACATGTTGCCATCAGATTATTGGTTTAACAAGTCTTCACAATATTAAGGCTTAATTTATAATTTCATTAATTTAAACACTTGTAAGCTGTTGGGGGAAGAATCAGTTTTGTGTTGTGTGTTCTCTTGACTGATGAAGCCTTCTGGATGGAAGGGGAAAGGTTTAGCACAAAAAAAAAAAAAACTGTCCAGATGACCTGACTGAAAATTGTTGGATTGTATACCTGGATTATTGAGCATGGACTTTGTTGGTTAAACACTTGTTATATTCATTCTTATACATGTTTTTTTTTTTTTTTTTACCAAGATGTCTACAGGTTTCGCTACAAGTCAATATAGGTAGCAATGATGCTCTGATTTGTCCATGATCTGTTCAAAGAACATATCTGTGAAACTGACTGAATTACAAGCCTTTTATTTTTTTTACTTAAGTCAGTTGGCTGTGGTGGCCAATGGAACTGGGTTACCTCCAAAAGTCAATCATTTGTAGAGGTACATTGATTAGGTTGTAAAGTTTTTATTAAAATTTGTCCAGTGCTTCACAAGATATCTTGCCAACATGCACACGCACCCCCCCCCCCCCCCACACACACACACAGTACAGGCAGAAACATAATTTTGCCTTTCGATGGTGGGCAATAATTAATAAATATATTTGTTTATCAATTAGGTAATAAGGACTTTGCATTTTCTTTAAAAATACAGAGTGATTGCAAAGTGATGAATGACTGCTGAAGTTGTTTAAACTGAGTCGGTAAAGCTAAAAGAAGCATGACACTAAGTCAAAGGTAGCAAAATTGTAGCTGAATGTGGCAATAGCATAGCTAAATATTAAAAAACAGGACAGTTAGAAGCTAAAGGTAGCAAAGCTCAAGTAAAGTACAAAGTAGTAAAACTGCAGCTAACAGTTAAAAATGGCCAAAGCTAAACAGTAACACCCTAGCTAAATGTAGCAAAAGGCTAGCTAAAAGCTAAAAATCGGTGGTCACTTTCAATGACCGCAATGTTTTTGAAGGATTTGAAGTGATTACAATGCATTTCTTATTTAAAAATATTCTTAATAAAGTTACATATGTTGAACAATATAAAAGTTATAAACCCTAAAAATCATTGCACTTATCTGTCAAATCTTAACATTTTGATCAATGAAGATTTAAAGTAGCATTAGGTATGCAGAGCTGATTAGATTGAAAATAACAACGAATGTGAAAAAATAAAAGTAGGAAAAGGTTTAGGGCCACTGTAAAATATCTTTCTTAAATATTCTGAAGTTCTTTATATATAGTCAGAATTTTAAGAAAAAAAAAACCGACAGATTGTCATATGAATTCCCAAGAAGTTTTGTCTTCATCTTCTTCACATTGATGTGACTTTGTTCTTCCTGCACCAGCTCTCCAGGTGTTCCGCCTCCTGCCTGTAGCTGGACTCATCATTGTTTGTGATGCATCCCACCAACGCTGTATCTTCTGCAAACTTTACAATATGACAGCCTGGATGGGCAGCTGCATGGTCATACGTGAGCAGAGTGAACCTTATTATCCCCTTAGTTATGCTGCTATAGGCTGAGACTATCCATCCATCCATTATCTTTTACCCGCTTCTTCCATTTTGGGTCACGGGGGTCGCCAGTGCCCATGTCTAGCAATCACTGTGCAAGGGGTGGGGGACACCCTGGACAGGTCGCAAGTCCATCACAAGGACACAGAGACAAATGAGACAAACAACCATTCACTCTCTCACTCACACCTAGAGACAATTTAGAGTTACCAATCAGTCTAACATGCATGTTTGTGGTCTGTGGGAAGACACAGGAGTACCCAGAGAAAACCCGCACCTGCATGGAGAGAACATGCAAACTCCACCCAGAAAGACCCCTGGACCTGGATTTGAACTGGCAACCTTCTCGCTAAGAGGCAGCAGCTCTACCAGTTGCACCATTGTGCTGCTTGACCTAATTTCATCAACTAAATAGTTACTAATGAATACAAATGAATAGTTTGTACTTGTAATTATTTCTGTCTAAACATGGTTTTATTTTAGTCTTTCCTCCAAGTGAGGACCTGCTCACTTTCATGACCTGCCATTCTGTGTCCATTTTCCTTCCTGTCCTCTGAAACCCAGCACGTCGAAGCAGATGGTCGCTTGTCCCGAGTCTGGTTCTGTTGGAGGTTTCTTCCTGTTATGAGGGAGTTTTTCCTTTCCACTGTTGCCATGTTCTTGCACGGTGGCGCAACTGGTAGAGCTGCTGCCTCTCAGCGAGCAGGTCCCTGGTTCAAACCCCGGTCCAGGGGCCTTTCTGGGTGGAGTTTGCATGTTCTCTCCGTGCATGCGTGGGTTTTCTCCGGGTACTCCGGTTTCCTCCCACAGTCCAAAAACATGCATGTTAGGCTGATTGGTAACTCTAAATTGTCTCTAGGTGTGAGTGAGAGAGTGAATGGTTGTTTGTCTCATTTGTCTCTATGTGTCCCTGTGATGGACTTGCGACTCGTCCAGGATGTACCCCGCCCCTCGCACAGTGATTGCTGGACATGGGCACCAGCGACCCCCGTGACCCAAAATGGAATAAGCGGGTAAAGATAATGGATGGATGGATGGATGTTGTCATGTTCTTGCTCAGGATGGGAGATTGCGCCAAAATGAAGACTCCATGCAATGCTGACTACCCTACCTTAGATAAATAATGTTCCCAGTTGAATTTTTATGTACATATGAATGTTTTTGTTCAGTGCCCTGAGACAACTTCTGTTGTGACTTGGCGCAATATAAATAAACTCCAGTGAATTGAAATTCAATTTAACCCAATCTCATTTATTAAAATTATAATTTTTGCTTTTCTTTAAAAAAAAAAACTTATTCCCATGTGCAACTGTTTTATAATTATAAACATACTTTTTAATTGTCTGTTAATGACCTGTTCATCTATGGCGCCTTCCTATTGGCTACAAATGAGTGACGTAGGCCTCGGTGTCAGCCAATCAATCGAGGCGACTCTCCCTTTTCGGCGTGTGTTCAAAGAGCGAGTGAGGTTGAAAAGGTAGGTGTCGCGCTGCATCCTGGGTACATAGCTCCACTGTGATGCAGCGAGCCTGTTGTGTTGACTGGGAACCAGCGGGAAGTGAACGGGGGAGGGTCTGCCGCTCGCAGCGGCTCACAATGCGTCTTTCACGGCGTTGAACCGCCTCGCAGGACCATGAGCCAACTTCGCCGGCCGCCTCGACACGGAACGAGCCGCTCTTGAGGTCCGAGAACGAGTCCCTTTTTGGCGGCGGGGAGAAAATGAAGCAGCCGAGCTCCCTGCTCCGAGTCGCGGGCTTGACTGGGAAATGGTAGCGCGCTGTGGGAACCGCACTGGGCAGGATCATGGTCGAGAGGAGCAGCAAATTCTTGTTGATCGTCGTCGGATCCGTGTGCTTTATGCTGATCCTCTATCAGTACGTGGCTCCGGGGGTGATCAGTTTCGGCTCCCCGCACGGTTATTTCACCGAGGAGGACGAGGGGGACATCTTCCCCACTCCGGACCCCCACTACGTTAAGAAATACTACTTCCCAGTCAGGGACCTGGAGAGGACGATCGATTTCCAGATCAAGGGGGAGGACGTGATCGTGTTTTTGCACATCCAGAAGACCGGGGGGACTACCTTCGGTCGGCACCTGGTCCAGAATGTCCGTCTGGAGGTTCCCTGCGACTGCAGACCGGGCCAGAAGAAGTGTACCTGCTACCGGCCGAACCGCAAGGAGACCTGGCTCTTCTCTCGGTTCTCCACCGGCTGGAGCTGCGGCTTGCACGCCGACTGGACCGAGCTGACCAACTGTGTGCCGGGGGTCCTCAACAAGAAGGAGAACAAGCAGAAAACTCTGAGGTAAAGACCAGGAGGTGGTTCTGTTCGCTGGGCTGCAAAGACCCAAACACACATGAACGTGTTTTCATGTCACAACTTTCACTTTCTTATTTCAGTGTAACAAAGATGTAGGTGAGGGGGTGCCATGAGGTCACCAAGGTACTCCAGTTTTACCTGCATCTTTAGATCATTCAACAAAACCCTCTCAAATTTAGTTAACTTGGAACTCAGTCCATTTTTATCCTCGTCTACAAAGCCTCTTCTAACAAGTTCTGGTGACCCTAAATTAACTTTTTTCATGTTAAATAATGCAATTGCGCTTATTTGCAACATAAATATAGTCGTAATACCATGTACACCCAGTGTTCTAGTACAATAACAGAATACTGCAGTCGCATTATAACCCACAGTTGTGATTAATGGGTTTATTCAGGTTTTTGGTTCCTACTGGAGCGGGGACGTGTTTTCTAGAGAGAAAGAGAATGACAGGAACTGTGCACATCCTCCTGAAGTGGTGCGGTGATTATGGATGCTGACTGACATTTCCACGCTGAGAGGTGCCCCTGACATGTGTTGATAGATGCCAATATCAGAGTCTCTCCCCACCCATCTCTGACTCGGTTATTCATATTAGGGGGCGGGTGGGGGGTGTAATACACCCAGGCAGCGCTCCTTCTTCAGTAACGATCCCTTGTTTTGACTATGAGATGCACTGCACATGATGAAGACTCTTATTAAGGTTGAACTCTTTCTCCTCACCCCCCCCCCCCCCCCCCCCCCCCCCCTCCAGCCTCCCCATTGTTGCAGTCCTCTCACAGACATATTGACGGCTGCATCAACTTCCATGCCACTGCACCCCTGCGGTTGAAGGGGTGCAGCTCTCGGATGGGGTTGTGCGCCTTTGTGTTGCTTGAGCTTGGTCAGTATTTAATTTTTGCTATTGATGATCAGTAAGGATAAAGAGAAATGTGGGGATTTTCCCATCTGGCAACCAGGCTCAGCGGGGATGTGCGGTCCGGCTGCTCCGCTTCCCATTGTGGCTCAAACTGGGGGATCGGTGCTACAGGCTGGGTAGGAGGGGGAGGAGAGGAGGACCCCGTGGGGGTTTGGCTCCAGTCTAATCTGGGTGATTATTACCACTGGGACACACACATACGCTGGTATTTGCTGCTCTGGCGTCAATCCTGACTTGTGGTCTCCCCCGGTCAGAGGAGATAACGTATTTCTGCATCATGACGAGCTGAGATATCACAGCAGATGCAGGATAAGCAGCGTTTCATCCTTCCTGAGCACCGCTTCTAAACCTAAACTTGTTTTTTTTTTTTTTTGCTCTGTGCACCTGAAGAGGTGAGCAGAACAGAGCTCTGCATGCATGAGCTCAGCACAGACACGATCTCCCCCCTCAGGTTTAATTGACTACCCGATCCCCTCTGACAGGAGAAACAAGGAAGTATAAGTCTAATAACACCCTGAAGACAAACGGCGCTGCTCCATATCACATGCAGCACAACAATGGAAAGTGAAGCACATTCTCTGCGGGTTCCTTTCACCGTCACATCAGTGTTTGTTTCTTGGTTTGTCTCGTTGCTGCTTTTTTTTTTCTTGCTGTGCTCATTGTTTCAGTTCCCATTCTGTCGTTGCGTTAATGTAAGGGAGCGTTTGTCTTCAGGGCAGTGGTTGAGTGTGAGGAAGAGGGCAACAAATGTGTGAAGAAGATTAACCGTTTCCCAAACCAGGCAGTAATGGATTTTGTGGCACAGCGTTGTACGCATAGCTTTCAGAGATCAGCTGTGGGATACACACACACACACACACAGTACATCTGCTCACTTTTCGGAGGAAGTGGTTTGGAGTAGAATCTGTACTTACGAGAAACAGAAAGCACTCATCCAGAAATGTTTGACCACGCAGCAGCAGCGGGCCTTGCACTGAGATTCATCATCTCGCGCTGCAGCTGTGTTCTCATCCAGCTGTCGACAGGATTTTAAACAAGCGGCTGCAAAATAATCAAGTGTGAATTTGGACCGTTTCCATTAGACAAATGTTTGTTTGACTCAACAAGGCCTCCCACAAATGCTCACCAACAAAAAAATGTTAAGATATTCAGCTTTTATATTATTTGTTTTGACAGAAATAACACTTCAGCGATTAATATATTAAACATGTAATCATATCAAATTTAATCGTATATGATATAAACTGTGAAATTCAAGTTTAATCATTTGTGCTCTTAATTGCTGACGAGGCCTTTTTTGCAATGCAATGTAAAATAAAAAATACAATAGTTCCCGAGTGCAGCTGGATTCGTTTTTATTTCATTTTTTGAACAGATGCATTTTCCCCCTCTTCGTTGGAGCATAAACTTATTGTTTTATGCGCTGAAGAAAATAAATCGGATCAAGGTTTTTAGATGTTCAGAAGGAAAAAATGCTATGTGGCATAGGCTCAGTTTAGTCTAAATGAACACGTGTCAGCTGTGGGAGAAGTTGCATTAGGAGGTGGAGAGCAGCGGTGAGATGAATTGTGGGTAATGGGAGGAACAGGTCTGTCTTTGATCGGCGATTAGATGAGATGGAGATGAACGGTGGCGATGTGGGAGATAGGAGCTCACACACTCAGCAGAGAGCCACTGGGAGCAGATTTGTCTTTTTTTTTGAATATCTTTATCAGTTTTAACGTTCTTCCTCTCATGGGGCACTCTAATGTGCACGTGCACACACACACACACTCTGAAGAGTGCATGCTGCTAACACTCCCACCCAAGGCTCAAGATATGGGAGCTGTAATTGGTTAAGGAGGGTCCTATCACTTTGCTCAAATTAGAGCCACACTTTCAGATGGAGGATACCATCTGTACTGTGCAAGTGTGTACGTGCACAAACTCCCAGACTGTGTGTGCGTGTCTGTTTTTCTTCCCAGTGTGTCACAAAGTGTCTTATAAGCAAAGTGATGGGCCTAATTTTACCACCTCCATCTTGGTCCTCTTTCAAATCAATGTGTGATTCTTCTTCTCTTGGTGTGCTCCTCTCTCGCCTCCCCTTCATGCCCTCTTCTTGCCTCTCTCTCCTTTCATCCTTCCCTTCTTCCTTCCATCTACGACGGTGTCAGTCTATAATCAAGCAGCAGGCTTTCTTTCCACTTGGTGGCTTTACAGCTTGGGTGGGGGGCACTCTGTCTTTCAGCTTCACTTTTCCTCACTCCCCTCTTCTTTTTCGTTTCTCCATCTCTGCCCTCTTGTCATTCTCTCCCTCCTTTCAGCATCTTTCTCTCCCTTTCCCTCCGAGCGTGACTGCCGCATTAGAGGGAATGTCTTTTCATGGAAGATTTGCTGCAATTTCCAAAATGGCTGCTTTGCCTAATGGACAACTGCCTTGGATCTAATGAATGATTACATGTACGAGGTGGGGGAGGGCGGCATGGGCACGCAGAGAGGGGCAGAGGATGGGATGAGTGTGGGACAAGAGGGGAGCTGTCAGAAAGTGATTGCAACAATAAACGATGGAGTGGTGAAAACATTTAGCTTCATTGCTGGGGAGGGGGCTCGTCAATTAGCACGGTTGTCAAGCTCTGGACATTCCTCTTCTCTCAATGGGTCTGCCTCGGATTCACGGCACAAATCAGCGCACTCTAAGATGGCTCTGTGAATAAGTGCATGTGTTGGGGATTGGTGGGGGGGGCATGGGAGCAGATGCATGTGGTAACCCAGCGTGATGCCATCAGCCAGCACAACCTCAAATCCAGATGAACTCTAGGAAGCTGCAGAGGCAGCCCCAGCTGATTGGCATATACCACAACAGTGAGCACAGGCCTTCGTGTGTACGCGAGTGCGCGTACGCACGCACTTGTGTTTTGTCAAGCAGGTCGGTGTTAATCCAATCAGATTAACTGGATTTAAGCGCTGGCGGCCCGGCTCTCCAAAGCTGGTTACGTCCGCTCATCCTGCGACTGAGGCTGCTCTACGCTTCAAGCACTCCCTCCATCCACGCCTTCCCCTCGTTCACTGAGCGCAATCACATTCTCTTGTGGGACAAAACTGGCTCTCAATAGAAACTACCTGCTAATTGGGTTTGCGCTCGTGTCTATCTGTCTGCCTTACTTAACGTGCATTATATTACTGTAATTCATTACGGCCTTGGCAAATAAAGGTATTACTGTTCACTAGTCTAGAGGTCACCTCTGGTCCTATTGGGTCAGGTCTGTGGGGAACATACCGATGGAGGCACTTAAAATATTTTGTAGCATATTATTCTACTAAAGTGTATTAGTTGTTGACATTAGAAGGCTAATGGACTTTTTCAGTGACATGAAACTAGGAGTAGCAGATCCAACATTTTTCAGTCAGGTCATCTGGACAGTTTTTTTTTTTTTTTGTACCGAAACGTTTTGCCTTCAATCCGGAAGGCTTCATCAGTCAAGGAAACGCGCAACACAAAACTGAGTCTTCCCCCAACAGCTTACTCCAAAGTGGAACAAACCAGTTATGTTGGTGCTAAGATGGTCTCTTTGCCACGCCCCCTCCTCCATTGCCGGTCCTCTTCCTTGTTGACAGTCGTGTCAAACAGGTTAAAAACAACAAATGAGCATCGGACCAGTTTTCAGCTTCTTTCATCTGTTCCCTCTCACCACAGCAAGTTCTCATCCTCCATCTCACTCTGACCTCACTCTGACTACCTCCTTGTCTATTTTAAATGCTTTCATTCTCTCCTTTTTGATGCGCCTCTTTGTCTTTTTCCTGGCAGCTGCATGTCTAACATCCTTCTACCAGTATACCCACTGTCCCTCCTCTGGACATGTCCAAACCACTGTCCCTCCTCTGGACATGTCCAAACCATCTCAGTCTGGTCTCTCTAACTTTATCTCCCAGTTGTTCAACCTGTGCTGTACCTCTGATGATCTCATTCCTAATCTTATCCATTCTTGTCACTCCTAAGGAGAACCTCAACATCTTCAGTGCCGCCATTTTTTAAAACACGTTTCCCTTTATTCAAATCTTAATTGAAGATAAATTTGAGGTGAAGTGG